GTGGTACGTTTACCGCATTGAATGCGGTTGGCGGATGTGACGTGGCATTAAATGCGGTGGTTGGCTGTCTCTAAAAGGAATCTTCGATGATTTGAGCGTGTTTGGCCGAAGGCTCATGGTGTAGCCGAGGGCTCGGTGTAACAGAGGACCCCTGTGTAGCCGAAGGCGTTGAGTGGCAGAGGGCGAAGTTCAGCCGAAGGCTCCCCTGATGCCGAGGGCTTGGTAATGCCGAAGGCTCATGTTTTTCGCCGTTTTCTCCCAGTGGCTTCGTATGTCAGAGAGGGCTACTTCGTGAGTTTCTGGAGCCTTCGGCCAAGGAGGCCGAAGGCACCCCAGTATGTATTTCGGGCTATTTTGGGGCTTGGGCCGTTGCTTTTGGGCCTGAGTTGTTCTCTGGGCTCATTGGATATGTGTGGCATAAGTAAGAGTCTATGGGCCGGGGGTTCCCGGGCCATATACTCCATCAATACGTAATCATCTTTGTTCGGTAAAGATAAACTGGATGGATTAAGTGAGAGTGTGTCTTAATGAATTGCCGGTTAATAGCTACTATCTTCGATTCTAATACTCTGTATGAATTTATAATTCAATTAATACACACACATATATAGAAGATGAAGGAAATCAAATACGGAGTAGAATATGAATAACCATTGATGCTCACTCAAACGTAAGATGAAACAGATCAAATAGAGATGAATATCGACAGTATGTGTATACATGGGCATAATAGGAATTATAAAACTATGTGGCTGTAGTTAGTAAAAGATGGGTTGTAAATAGAATTACCCATTCAGGACCCAATCCAACCCAAATATGGATCTATCCAACTCTTTTCAGATAAAGCCCAACCCAAACCATCCAACCCACCCAATAAACCTAACCCGTCGTTTGGCAGCTCTACGACCCCCCTCGCACTGCCTGCATCATCCACCATACCTTCGTCCCTACTCCTCCTTATTCACCAAAAAGGCACGGTTAATCCGATCCTCTCTATAAATCACGGAGCATGCAGCAGTCTTTGTTGTTGCCTCGCCGGAAGCCCGACCATTAAATCAGATTGCGAACATATTCACGACTCTATTTTCGGTATATCCATACATTTGTGAACAACAAATCTGTGTACTCGATTTCTCTTGACTCTGTTAATCACACATCATACTTTAATTTGTTATATTATTCCAATTTAATTTTTTCTGTATACATCAGCTTTTTGAACATATACACATAGATTATACGATAGTATATATGAAATCTCATATACACATATATCTCACACAAACAATACTGTTTGTCAAGCAGTCACTCTATTGTGAAGTATAATCCTGAATCCCTGTGTTTGTCTTTGTTTTTCATTTCGCCGATACAAATTATGTGGCTTGCCCACCACCAATGCTCTTTTCGACTTTTGTTCCTTAAAAATATCTAAGACTAGATATTGGATTAACAATGTTTCAGTTAACAATTTTTCAGTTAATCTCTTCTGATCTTGAAAGCCCTACGGATGGTCTCTTCTCAGAGCGTCAATGTTTTCTTCTTGTCAATAGGGTTCTGTTTGCCCGTTGTTAGACTTTTCCGTTTATTAATTCCCCAATTGTAATTTGAGGTATACTACACGTTCCTTTTGAAAAATCTTGATATATACGTAATCATCTTTGTTCGGTAAAGATAAACTGGATGGATTAAGTGAGAGTGTGTCTTAATGAATTGCCGGTTAATAGCTACTATCTTCGATTCTAATACTTTGTATGAATTTATAATTCAATTAATACACACACATATATAGAAGATGAAGGAAATCAAATACGGAGGAGAATATGAATAACCATTGATGCTCACTCAAACGTAAGATGAAGCAGATCAAATAGAGATGAATATCGACAGTATGTGTATACATGGGCATAATAGGAATTATAAAACTATGTGGCTGTAGTTAGTAAAAGATGGGTTGTAAATAGAATTACCCATTCAGGACCCAATCCAACCCAAATATGGATCTATCCAACTCTTTTCAGATAAAGCCCAACCCAAACTATCCAACCCACCCAATAAACCTAACCCGTCGTTCGGCAGCTCTACGACCCCCCTCGCACTGCCTGCATCATCCACCATACCTTCGTCCCTACTCCTCCTTATGCACCAAAAAGGCACGGTTAATCCGATCCTCTCTGTGAATCACGAAGCATGCAGCAGTCTTCGTTGTTGCCTCGCCGGAAGCCCGAACATTAAATCAGATTGCGAACATATTCACGACTCTATTTTCGGTATATCCATACATTTGTGAACTACAAATCTGTGTACTCGATTTCTCTTGACTCTGTTAATCACACATCATACTTTTATTTGTTATATTATTCCAATTTAATTTTTTCTGTATACATCAGCTTTTTGAACATATACACATAGATTATACGATAGTATATATGAAATCTCATATACACATATATCTCACACAAACAATACTGTTTGTCAAGAAGTCACTCTATTGTGAAGTCTAATCCTGAATCCCTGTGTTTGTCTTTGTTTTTCGTGTCGCCGATACAAATTATGTGGCTTGCCCACCACCAATCCTCTTTTCGACTTTTGTTCCTTAAAAATATCTAAGACTAGATATTGGATTAACAATTTTTCAGTTAACAATTTTTCCGTTAATCTCTTCTTCTGATCTTGAAAGCCCTACAGATTGTCTCTTCTCAGAGCGTCAATGTTTTCTTCTTGTCAATGGGGTTCTGTTTGCCCGTTGTTAGGCTTTTCCGTTTATTAATCCCCAATTGTAATTTGAGATATACTACACGTTCCTTTTGCAAAATCTTGATATATACTTAATCATCTTTGTTCGGTAAAGTAAACTGGATGGATTAAATGAGAGTGTGTCTTAATGAATTGCTGGTTAATAGCTACTATCTTCAATGCTAATACTCTGTATGAATTTATAATTCAATTAATACACACACATATATAGAAGATGAAGGAAATCAGATACGGAGTAGAATATGTGTAACACTTGAGATTTAATATAAATGGATTAATAGTACTACTCATACCAACAGAGGTGCATCTCCTTTTAAGGGAGCTCATTACCCAAGAACGCCAAAGTTAAGCGTGCTCGCACGGGAGTAGTCTTGGGATGGGTGACCCCCTGGGAAGTTTCTCAGGGCGCGCACGAGTGAGGACAAAGTGCGCGGAAAAGGCTTGTGATGGTTTGTGAGGACAGTACTATTGGTCCGAAGTAACTACCTCGGGTCCGGTGGGGACGGGGTGTTACAGGTGGTATCAGAGCAACCCTGCGACAGTGTGTTGATCCGTTGGATATCGGGCAGACACTTAGCAGGGGAAAAGATTCTGGGATTTGATTGAGATTTGAGATTGGTTCAAGGGCGCAACGAGGACGTTGCGATCCTAAGTGGGGGTGATTGTAACACTTGAGATTTAATATAAATGGATTAATAGTACTACTCATACCAACAAGGTGCATCTCCTTTTAAGGGAGCTCATTAGCCAAGAACTCCAAAGTTAAGCGTGCTTGCACGGGAGTAGTCTTGGGATGGGTGACCCCCTGGGAAGTTTCTCAGGGCGCGCACGAGTGAGGACAAAGTGCGCGTAAAAGGCTAGTGGCGGTTTGTGAGGACAGTACTATTGGTCCGGAGTAACTACCTCGGGTCCTGCGGGGCCGGGGTGTTACAATATGAATAACCATTGATGCTCACTCAAACGTAAGATGAAGCAGATCAAATAGAGATGAATATCGACAGTATGTGTATACATGGGCATAATAGGAATTATAAAACTATGTGCTTGTAGTTAGTAAAAGATGGGTTGTAAATAGAATTACCCATTGAGGACCCAATCCAACCCAAATATGGATCCATCTAGGTCTTTTCAATTAAAGCCCAACCCAACCTATCCAACCCATCCAATAAACCTAACCCGTCGTTCGACAGCTCTACGCCCCCCCTCACACTGTCTGCATCATCCACCATACCTTCGTCCCTACTCCTCCTTGTGCACCAAAAAGGCACGGTTAATCCGATCCTCTCTGTGAATCACGAAGCATTCAGCAGTCTTCGTTGTTGCCTCGCCGGAAGCCCGAACATTAAATCAGATTGCGAACATATTCACGACTCTATTTTCGGTATATCCATACATTTGTGAACTACAAATCTGTGTACTCGATTTCTCTTGACTCTGTTAATCACACATCATACTTTTATTTGTTATATTATTCCAAATTAATTTTTTCTGTATACATCAGCTTTTTGAACATATACACATAGATTATACGATAGTATATATGAAATCTCATATACACATATATCTCACACAAACAATACTGTTTGTCAAGAAGTCACTCTATTGTGAAGTCTAATCCTGAATCCCTGTGTTTGTCTTTGTTTTTCATGTCGCCGATACAAATTATGTGGCTTGCCCACCACCAATCCTCTTTTCGACTTTTGTTCCTTAAAAATATCTAAGACTAGATATTGGATTAACAATTTTTCAGTTAACAATTTTTCCGTTAATCTCTTCTTCTGATCTTGAAAGCCCTACAAATTGTCTCTTCTCAGAGCGTCAATGTTTTCTTCTTGTCAATAGGGTTCTGTTTGCCCGTTGTTAGACTTTTCCGTTTATTTTCCTCAATTGTAATTTGAGATATACTACACGTTCCTTTTGCAAAATCTTGATATATACTTAATCATCTTTGTTCGGTAAAGTAAACTGGATGGATTAAATGAGAGTGTGTCTTAATGAATTGCTGAATAATAGCTACTATCTTCGATGCTAATACTCTGTATGAATTTATAATTCAATTAATACACACACATATATAGAAGATGAAGGAAATCAAATACGGAGTAGAATATGAATAACCATTGATGCTCACTCAAACGTAAGATGAAGCAGATCAAATAGTGATGAATATCGACAGTATGTGTATACATGGGTATAATAGGAATTATAAAACTACGTGGCTGTAGTTAGTAAAAGAGGAGTTGTAAATAGAATTACCTATTGAGGATCCAATCCAACCCAAATATGGATCTATTCAGCTCTTTTCAGTTAAAGCTTAACCCAACCTGGCCCCTAGCACAATAAAACTTTTCGAGAAATACACATCATCGAAATACACTTCATTCCAGTTCTTCATCCAGGTACTACATTTGCTACGATCACTTTCAATCTTGTTTACTTCAAACTTACTCTACTTGTTTTTACAAAATTCATGTCTTATTTGAACTATACGGATAGGAAATAAGTAGTATGATAATTATTTGATTTTGTCATAATGAAATTTTAGATCCGGTTGAGAAAAAATCTAAATCTAAACACCAGAGTCTACCATATCTTCAATCGGTGCTATATATCAATGATGTGTATGAGTGTATGACACAACACTCGACAATTCATTACCGTTTTATGTAAGAATTTACTTAACTACGAGTTATTTATTCTTAAAATTTGTGATTTATACTTTTTTCGTTCGTAACTGACTGATTCGGCGGTATGTTTTTTAAATGAATTTTGTTGATTAATTTTTGAAATAGGTAGAATGTACTCGCTTAAAATTTGGTTTGAGACATACGTAGTACTGCATTTTGTCATTTTAATCATTTTTAGGCTAAGTAAGATTTAATTCAGAGATGCTGTTTGACATGTGTCTGATATGATATGAAAAACAAACCATTTATTTCGATTTATAGAGCGAGAGCAAGAACTTTTTTCCCCATTATTTGTTATTTGGAACTTATTATTGGTATTTTCCCACATTCTTTGGTATTTGGAACTTATTATTAGTACATTGAGTGTCTTTTTACTGGAGAGTTTACTTTACTGTTCTTGTTTCTTCATTCAGTTTTGCTGGGAAAATTGGCAAAACTAACTGCATTATTATATCTAGATAATTAGATAAATAATAGCTCATTCTCATCAAGATTATACTGAGCATATTTGTCGATTTAAAAGTTTTCTTAACTCAACAATATCAAGATGCTACATTGCAGGAAAATGTCACCATTTCCTTGTTTTCACAGTTCACTTTTACTTGTCCCATTTGTATTTTTTGTAGAAAAAAGAGAATTTTGTAGGGGGGCATATCCCTCAAATATTTCTGAAGAGAAGATGCAAGGTCAGGAGGGGCACACTACTGATGATGATATTGGAAGCTTAACATCTATTAAAACATCTGAAGTCGATGATTGGACAAAATTTGGGGACAATGATATTATGCAACAACATTCTGTTATTCGGGCTGAGGAAGCTGAGAAGCTTCCCTTTGTGGGTGATAAGGCAAGAAAAACTGCCAATATGAATATGCATAAGTTCCTTGTTTCTGATAAGTACTTCTCCGTCATATATTTTGCTAGAAAACATATAAACCATCAAACTTGCAATGTTAGTACTTTTGTTGTATTCCCCATTTCTTCCTCTCTGCCATCTAGAATTAAAGTGCCTATTTCAATTTTTTCACTTCACAAGATGTAAGTATTACACACTGTTCTAAAAATCGGCCTAGGGGAACCGATTAATCGGCCTAGGCGCCCTAGTCGGCCCTAACAGTAGAGAACTAATCGGCCTAGCCGGCCAAAAAATCGGTCTAGTCGGCCGAAAAATCGGCCTAGCCGCCCGACTAGCTCCTAGCGAGTTTTAGAACAATGGTATTATATGGCATATTTTTTGTACTCTCGCCTTCAAAATAAAGAATCTATTTTTGTCTTTTTGTCCCCAAAAAGTGTCCTATTTGAACAAAGCAAGCTACTATTTATAATATATAATGTAATTGTTTCGTTCAAAATGTATCCCTAACAAGTTTGATGTTTAAGTTTACATAAACAAATAAACAATTTTAAAATAATTTTGGTCATTCTAATTTTCTAAGTACAAAATTATAAAGTTGTAACTTGGTGAAACAAGACTCTTCTTTCGGGACGGAGGTAGGAAGTCTCTCTGTATGCACTTGTATGAATAGTTCTGTCTGTAAAATGCCAATTGCAGGAGCATCTGGCTTCATTGGAAGCAGAATATCAATCTGGGAGTCCAATTTTATTGCAGAAAATTAAGGTTTGAGTTTGTTTTTAAAGATAATATGTATATGTAACTTATATGTTGTTCTAAGATGTCTTTGCATGGCTAGATAGGATTCTTTTAATGTCTGTAGTCTGTACAGATTCTGAGTGAACAGTATGCTTACATAAGAAGAACCCGAGGAGATGGAAACTGCTTTTTCCGAAGCTTCATGTTCTCTTATCTTGTATGTAGTAATCAAGTTCTTGATTGCACAATATATATCGTTGGCTGACATGTATGTGTTTATTATATTCTGCTCTTAAGGCTATTATAAAAAAGGATCATCATTTGATGTCATATGATGAAGGAGTATATTTTGGAAGCACAAGATGAAACTGAAGTTGAACGTGTCAAAGTCAATATAGAAGAGTGTAGAAAGACACTTCAAAGCCTGGGCTATGCAGAATTCACATTTGAAGATTTCTTTTCGGTACTCATTTATGAAGCAACAACCTCTTTGTTATGAAGAAACAGCCCGTCCATGCAATTTTGGACGCGATTTTCACTATGGGTCATCCGGAAACAGTCTCTTTGTGCTTTAGTACAAGGGTAAGACTGCGTACATCCGACCCCCCCTTACCCCACCGTAAGTGGGAGCCTTTGCGGCACTGGGGTAAATGAAAATGAAATGAAACTCATTTATCTTCTTATTTGATATGCAGCAGTCACTTATATTTCTGCACCTGTCGATCAATTTATAAACCTCACCAGCCTGATATAGTGAGCAACAAAATAAACAAATAATTTTATGTGGATTTGAATGTGTTGAAGATTCCTAAAAAAGTAGTTATCAGATTCCACATAAGTACATAACACCTTCCTTTCTTAATAATTTGACCAACATGTCCACTGCTTTGTACCCATTATTATAACTGTTTTAGCATTGATTATCTTTTTATTACTGCTGAAGCTTTATGTAATTTTGCTTTTTCACATTTTTGTGATAGTTATTCCTCGAGCAACTTGATAGGGTTCTTCAAAGGAGTGAAGCTTCAATAAGGTTTGGATGTAGCCTTTTTGTAACTGTGCATTCTTTGACTCATACAGAATTTGCTTCGATTGGATTGACAAGTATCTATAATCTGTAATTATTTTTAATTAAAACAATTAATTTAGCTATTTATTTATTTATTTATTGATCTGTGCTTACTGCAGTCATGATGAACTCCTAGAGAGAACTCGTGACCCGTCAGTTTCTGATTATAGTAAGTTTCTATGCGTTGAAGGCGTACTACTGGGGGCTGAAAACATGAAATAAGTTTTCTTTTATTACAATATGCTGCTCCATGTGATTTTTCTCTGTAAAATTGAAGTTCACTTCGTGTTGTTAGTTGTGATGTTCTTCAGGTTTGTGACATCTGGTGAAATAAAGAAACGGTCAGAGTTTTTTGAGCCATTCATACTAGGGTTATCAAATACTTCAGTGGAACAGGTTGAGTTTTACTATGACTTCTATCTTTTTTTAGTAGTAACATCTTTGCTTGTGGGTGTTGTGGCTGCTTTACTGATGATGAATGTGTTGGTGGGTGGGTGTAGTTCTGCAAGTCATCGGTGGAACCAATGGGAGAAGAGAGTGACCATGTGCACATTATAGCTTTATCAGATGCCTTGGGTGTTCCTATCCGTGTCGTCTATCTTGATCGCAGCAGCTCATCTTTGTCAGGTGGTGAAAACAACAGCAGCAGCAGCAGTGGGGTCACTGTAGTAAATCACCATGATTTCATCCCCACTGCCAACCTGGATGCAGACAGCGGTGATGAGTCCACTGAGAAGGCCGTCGCCCCAGAGGCTCATTCAGTTCTTCTTACCTTGCTATACCGGCCAGGTCACTATGACATTCTGTACCGTAAATGATCTCAAAGATGTGTATCCTTGCTTTGCTAGGTGGAAACAGTACTCCCACTGTCCTATGCAATACAGATGTGTTGTTACGGTGGTGGCTGAGAATGGTTTGTGTATGATTCCTGAAGGGGCTATATCAGTTCTTTTTTCCTTGTTACCTGACTGCTTGTTGCCATTGTTGGCCTATACATCCGTAACAACTAAACCTGTGTATCATCACCCTGTTGAATATTTTGCTGGTCACTATATTACTATTTTCTACACACTGTTACAGGCCTACAGCCATTACAACTTTCTCTGTTTTGAACCTAGTACGAGCAAGCCACAATCTTCCAAATTAAAGTAGATTATTCTATCTCATTTGCACTTGATTTCGATGTCTTTTTCAGGGAAATAGTAATGGTAGAGAGATTATTTCAAGGAAGAGTTCATGGAGTTGAATAAGAATCTAAAAAAATCCTAAAATTATAGCACCTCATCATTTTTCAGTTGTGGTATTTTTGAGAAGTTTTTTTGGACAATTATCAAACGTTCCCTTCACATATCTCATATGGGAAATTTACCGGGATATGACTAAAATTTAATGAGTTTCTCAATTTATGATCTAACTAGTTTTTATACCTTTGTATGACCAAAAATCCAAAAACAAATAAAAAATTCATTTATATTTAAATGTTGAAGGACGAAAATACTCTTATTTAAAATATGTGCATTTTGCACTAATTTCGTTCAATTAAAATTATTGCACTTTATATTGCTGTTAATGTACAAAATTAATGCACGTCTTTATTGCACATCCAGTAATAATCACTGCACTTCCGTAAAATTAATTCTTTTCTCATTTACTTGAGGAATTTGTTTTTGTTTTTATTTTTTGTTTTTTAGATTTAATAATTTATTATTTTACATCTCATTAAGTATATTGTGTTTCATAGTGAAATTAATTTTAGTATTTCACTTTTAATTAAATTAATTGCATTTCATGGCGACATTACTACTCTGCATTATAGCCGTATAAGTCTTAATCAATGCACTTCTTGCCATTTTTTTAACAATATCTATTGTGTTCGAATCAATGCACATCATCAATGCGTTCATTCATGGTCCATGTACAACATTATTTATTGTCATGCTCGCTATTCATATTCAACATTATAATCTCATGTTCATTATCTATATTCAACATTATTTACTATCATTTTCATTGCCCATGTTTTTTGCACCACAAACCTTAATTTTAAGAAATAGACAAAGAAGAAGTCCACAAACCTAATTTCAAAAAAATAGAAAAATAATGAGAATTGTGGTTGTTGAGGAGATCCACTACCTACTCAACAAATTAATTAAATCAAAATTCTACCTTATCCCCACCTTGAGAACGAAACACGTCGTTCTTATGTCTTATGCAAAATGACTTTGGAGCAAATTATACCCATCGTTCTTCTTGCTTCACTAGAGGCACAGAACCAACAAGAAGACAAGAGGGATTAATAGAGCGGCCTAATCAGACCTCCACATGTGTCGGTCTTCATCCATATTGTCCCCAATTGACCTACCGAATTTAGTTTGTTTTGTTCAGATGCGTGCAGAGGGCGGCGGAATCGATGACAAAGAGTTGCAGAGGGCAGCGGCGGCAAGTGGCCGTGCATCTGGGCGGCAGCAGGCGGCCGGGCGTCTAGGCGGCGGCTGTGCAGTTAGGGGTGGGCGCGGTCCGGTCCGGTCCAATATTTGGCCGAACCCGTACCCGTACCGTTACTATTCAAACGGTTCGGTTCGGTTCGGTCTTAGACCTAAACCCGTTCGGTACGGTTTCATTTTGAAACGGGACGGTACCATGCCATACCAATACCAAACAATGCCATTTTTTTCAAGTGCTTAAGAGGAAATTAAAGTTTATTCATTCTCCAAAAATCAACACAATTTATCAATTTTCATACTCATTTTATCCCAAATTGACATGCAAAGTCAATATTTTTTTTGTCAACCATGTTAAAGTTAAATTCTCTTTATTGATAATTGATTTATTTTTTAATAATTAAAATAAACATATTCAGAAACTACATTGAAATCTCTTCAAGGTTGCAAGCTCCAAATTAAATATAATTAAAAAGTGACATTCTAGTTAAGTGAATAAAATGAAAGTGTTTGACTAAGAAAAGTTATTTTTGCAAATCAATTTGGGATGAATGTGGTATTTTACATAATTAATAAATTTCAGATAAATTATAGTAATACAAATATAAATAATTAAACCATACATCGGTCTGATTCCAGGCCTCCTATGAATTAGCAAAGACGGTGAAAGTGTGAAAACAGTAGTCAAAGTAAGGGTATAAATGTAAATTTAAATCATTGAATCATACTTCGGTCCGGTTCGGTCCGGTACCGGTTCTCATTTTATGAGAACCGGTCATGGCATTGTTTAGAACCGGTACGGTTCGGTTCGGGACAAAAAAATTGAGATCCGTTTCAAACCCCATTTTTCGGTCCGGTACCATATCGGTTCGGTTCGGTACCATGTCGGTTCGGTATTTTTGCCCGCCCCTATGTGCAGTACGTTGTTCGGCTGTGTGGGGGCAAACTAAAGGCATCGATCATTGGCTAGGGTTAAGAAAGTTAGCTAGCATTTTATAATTACAATTAAGGGCATATTGGTCCATAAAAACTATTTATTTATTTATTTATTTATTTATTTATTTAGTAATAAATTAATTAATTAGAACGAATTCAGATATTACTGTGGGAAAAAAGTACTAAGGTCATAGATTGAGAAAGTGATGGAGTTTTAGTAATACCTAGGGTAATTATCTCATATCATTATCCGTTTTTTACATTTCACGGATAACTTTTGTTGCTATTTTTTCTTTCAAAATTTACCTACCGAAGATGTGCTTGAAGTTTTGCCTATCGAAGATGTGCTCATGTGCTTATAATTGAAGTTTTGCATACCGAAGATGTGCTTATAATTGAAGTTTTGTCTCCATGAAAAATGCTCTTTGATCACATAGAGAAGGCACAAGATATGGGGTTGTCTTTGTCCCACACTCCCATCCGAAGGACAAGTTTTGTTCTTTCACACTTATAGATCAATGCTCCAATAATGCTGTCGAACATCAAGCACTAATGCTCGGGATTGAAATAGTTGTAGACTTGTAGACATGAAAAAAGCAAAGGTTAATGTCTATGTGATTCAAAACTAATCATCAATTAAGTGCTTAACATTTGTAAGCGATGAAGCTTAAACTACATTCTCAAACAACAACTGTTATTCATTTACCATTCATGCCTGACCTCACTGGAGCTGATACACCTCCTCCATCTGATCATGAAGATCCTGAGGATTAAGGCACAATAGCAACACAATCAACTTCACCAACACAAGCAACACAATCAGCACAAGCAACATAATCAACAACAAAACCAACAACAACACTAGTGCACTCCACTCCTCAAGAAACTACATCTGCTATCTTTGAGGACCCGAATCACCCCATCATAACTCCAATCCCTCTTACACATGAGCGGAAATGGATGAAGGCACATCCTGCAGAGCAAATAATTGGGGATCCGAGTCGTGGAGTTTGCACCAGAACTGCAACAGCAAATGCATGTCTCTACTCCTGCTTCATTAGCCAATCTGAACCCTCAAAGGTCACTGATGTATTGGCAGATCCTGATTGGGTAATTGCAATGCGGGAGGAGATAAATCAGTTTGAAAGAATGAATGTGTGGATTCTAGTTCCTAGACCTCTGAAGAAAACCATTATAGGCACCAAATGGGTATTAAGAACAAGAAAGATGAAGGCGATGTGATTATAAGGAACAAAACACGCCTGGTTGCAAAAGGTTACAATCAACAAGAAGGAATCGACTACGATGAAACCTTTGCACCAATGGCGAGGATTGAAGCAGTCAGGTTGTTCCTCGCCTACGCTGCTCATAAAAGCTTCACCGTGTACCAAATGGATGTGAAGATTCCGTTCCTGAATGGAGATTTGAAAGAAGAAGTCTACGTTGCACAACCTGATGGCTTTGTTGATCCTGAACGCCCCAATCATGTGTATAAACTGAAGAAAGCCTTGTATGGTCTGAAACAGGCAGCGAGAGCCTGAAACAGGCACCGAAAGCCTTGTGGAATCAGGCTACTCGAAAGGAAAGATAGATCCAACTCTCTTCATCAAACGAGACAAAGGTGACATCATGCTGATACAGATCTATGTTGACGACATTATCTTTGCTTCGTCAAATCCAAACTTCTGCCAAGAGTTCAACAATCTCATGGGCACCGATTTCGAAATGAGCTTGATGGGAGAGTTGAACTTCTTTCTAGGGCTTCAGATCTAACAAATGCTAGACGGAATATTCATCAACCAGTCCAATTACATGCATGACATGCTCAAATGCTTCAAAATGGACAGCAAGTCAATGATGAAAACCCCCATGTCTCCCTCACAAAAGCTCGACTCTGACCCCTCTGGGAAATCAGTCGATGCTACCAATTATCGGGATATCATCGGTTCCTTGTTGTACCTGACATCTAGCAGATCGGATATTGTCTTCGCAACCTGCCTGTGCGTTCGCTTTCAAACAAATCCAAAGGAATCACATCTGGATGGAGTGAAAAGGATACTGAGATATCTGAAAGTAACAATCAATCTGGGCCTTTGGTATCCCAAGGAAACAAGTTTTGACCTAGTGGGATACTCATATACTGATTTTGCAGGTTGCAGACTGGACATGAAAAGTACATACGACGATGCTCAATTCTTAGGAGAAAAACTGCTATGCTCGTCCTCCAAGAAACAGAATTGTGTGTCGACATCTACAACTGAAGCACAATACGTTGTGGCTGCTAGTTGTTGTTCACAAATCATATGGATGAGGACCCAACTCAAAGACTATGGCTTCACGTTCAATCACATTACGATCTACAGTGACTCACAAAGTGCAATTGCCATAACCAGCAACCCCGTTCATCACTCACGCACCAAACACATTGATCTGCGTTATCACTTCATCAAAGACCATGTGGAGAAAGGAGATATTTGTCACGCCCCGGACCGCATCCGTGCCACGTAGACAACCGCCGTACAACCCAATAAGAACAACGTAGTTCATTCTCATTAAATCATACAAGGCGTCCGTTAAGTTCTGTTGCCAAACCGATTAGTAAACTCATACAATCAACATCAATATATATTAGTCAAACAAATGCGGAAAATAAGAGATGTTTGATACTTAGCCACACGTGGCAAATACAGGCACGCAGGCCCCCAAATGTTTTGATAGAAAACATTGTTAAAAATATCCATGAGCAGTTTATCAGTTTTGAAGGAGAATGGAAGCACGAACCACGTCTTCCTCCTT